CTTTGTTTTCGCCGAGTCAACTGGTCGATCCACATCAGCTGCTTTTTCGTACAGACCGGCGGTGAGGACATTACGAAGGGTTCAGCTTAAATTTCCAGGAATTAAATTTATGAAATATATTACAGCAACAAATGCGAAGCATAAAAATGCTTAGAACTTTGATATCGTACATATTTTATTGGTTCTAAGTTGTTTTCGTTGTACCATCGGTTCTCTGACCTGTGGATGAGAATTACTTAGGCTAGACCGAAAGGATAATCTTGAGAGCGGTAGAAAATGAATGAGGATTGCATTTCAGTCGCAGCTGATTAAATAATCGTATGGTATCAAAGAAAGCGATGCCAAATTGCATGTCCTATCTTCAGCCTGAAAAGGTGAAGGCATTTATTGTGACGTTATTTAGGCATCAAAGTAATCCCGAATTTGGTTAGGCTGTTTACATAGACGATGAAGGACCACGTAGGAAGTGGTAACAGCGTCAAAGAGCAAGAACGTCTATTGAACGAGGCACTGCAGAAAATGAAAGCCGAAGCGTTTGAGATGAAGTGCGCAATGGTGAGCATGGTCATTAATCATTGATCACCTGACATTTGTTTGACCTGATCTTAACCTTAACAAAAAAAACGTTTCATTTTCCTTATTAGGACAAGTCGAGGATCAACGAGGCGTTGAAACACGCGTCTGTCATGCTGTCAGAATTACGAACCTCATGTCTGACACCGAAGTACTATTACCAACTGTGTAAATGAACTTTTCTTCGCCATTAGAAGTCTGCTTTTATCACCTCTTTTCTTCAGACATCGATATCACTAATGAATTGCAACACTTGGCAGTAGCGCTTGCGGACGATCTTCAGAAGGGCCACAGGGACAGTGACCTATACGAAATTGTCCAGTACACCAACAATATTATACCACGTCTGTGAGTATGTCTCATGTCTTTTTCTTGCTTTTCGTTTGACATGTATGTGCGGCAGTCATGGATTTGTTGAATCATAGTTTCAGACAAATCACATCAGAAACGTGCAGAACACATTCATTCATTTTCAGTACCCCCTGCTCCTTGCTGGTTGCGGGAACGTCAGATTCCAGACGTGTTCGTCAGTCGTTCAGTTTCGATGACCGCTCATCGTTTCGGCTCGCTAAGACAGACATGTCTGGTAGTGTTTCCAACGCGATCCTGTACCGGTGTTTAACCTTCGGTAGAAGATAACTCGATTCTGGAGCAGATGCCTTTGAGGCACATGCCATCCCCGGGTTCTTAGTCGCCGTTCGGTTCAGCAAGTAGTGATCGTTCCGTCTTACTCTCTGAAGGCATTCGTAAACCGTGCCCGAACTATCTCTCAATCTGAAGAAGCAACGGTTGTACCCCATCGCTCTTCCATATGTTTGAACTCCGAGCCATGTCGAGACACTTGAGCCCAGCGATTCGCATCAGAAAGACAATTTTAACCGCAGGTATTCGAGATCGAATTTTTCAGGCATAGCCCGCGATTTATAGCCTCGATGAGTATCGGAATGACGACAGATTTAGATAGAAATAGTTTAGTCTTCAGACTCAGCTCTGCTTTAATCACATCGGTTCGGGCTAATTCATGCATAACCCTGTGGGCTATTCCAATCCGCCGGTCAATTTTTTTCTCCCATTTTCCATCACCTGTAAATACGACGTTGCTTTATGTGAGTTTCTTTGACTGTTCAACTACTTCAACGTTTATCTGTAGAGCAAAATGGACAGCGGAACGAGAAACCGTTAGACATTTCGTTTTGTCACGTTCGCACTTAGGTCACTCTCGGTTGCAAACCTTTCCAGAGAACACTAGAGATCAGACAGAAGATGTCAGCAAAAAGAGGTCTTCTACAAGCACTCTCGTCTCGACATCTCCTACA